ACAATGTGATCTTTGCTTATAAAATGTTGATCAGGGGGCTGGAGAGATGGCTCAGAGGTTAAGAGCACTGACTGCTCTTGCAGAGGACCCGGGTTCGATTCCCAGCACCCACAGGGTGGCTACAAGCCGTCCTTGACTCCAGTTCCAGGGGAATCCAACACCCTCTTCTGACCTCCACAGCACTGCATGACATGGGTGCACTCACACACATGCAGGCAATACACTCATAACATAAAATAAAAATAAAAATAAAATATATATATACATATATTAAAAAAAGGTTGATCAGAAGTTCCATAAAGGGAAATTAGAGTATTTAGTAGTTGAAATTGAAGCTGAGAATCAATTGTCTTTATTCTATAGTCCTTTCTTCTAATCCAATCATACCTCTGACATTGTAACTGGGTAGTAAGAACTGAAACTTTTAGTTTGAGGAAACAAGCAGAAACTTGCTTTTAGTGTTTCAAAAGCACTTACAATTCGAAAAGTGCCAGGCTAGGGATGTAGCTCAGTGATATAACATTTGCTTACCATACATGAGGTCCTAGGTATCATTTTTTCTAATGCAGACACTACCATGTGGGGTCAGGATGGCATCTTGCACTTAAGGTAGAAAAACTAAAGAGTAATGCTGAAAGGAGAAAAAAACAAGTTGCTGGTTGATTCACACTCACACCAGGTAAGTTCCAGTTCTAAAATTCCAGCACACAAGGGATGCAAGAAAATTCCAGGGGGAAATGCACATGAAGAGCAAAACAGAGAGGTAACAGTAATGGGCAAGGCAGCTTTCAGACAAAATTCAGGTCTGACATCTGGGAAAGGAGAGCATCCTTCAGTAAGAAGACACTCTGACTCTATGCAACACTGGAGATAAGCCATACATGTAAGAAGCCCAGAGCAGTCCACCTCTGCACAGCAACCTATACTGGAAAGAATGACTTAGCTCCAGGACTTCCACCGTGGTGAGTACGGCACAAAGCAAGAGGATAGGGCTCAGCAACAGGCTGTGACGCACCACAGATGTAGGACCAACTATAAGCCTCAAAGCAGGTTCTTTCTCAAAAGGAAGAGAGAACAGCACACAACCTGTGCATTACAGAGATCTCTTTCAGTTTGTGCTCTTGTTTATAGAATGGCTTCACGGCTCTGTGGTAGGGGAACTTGGAAGAAAAACAGCACAGCAAACTTTATCAGTATCACCGTGACTATCTTCAGGGCTGTTAACTCCCATGTCTACTCTCTAGAATCTGCCCAAGTCCTTGTCACTTTTGGCTAGCACCTCTCCAGCTCTTTTTTTATGCTTAAATAATATGCCATTTTCAATTGGCATACAAAGTATTAGGTTTCATTCTGGCATTTTTGAACCTATTTTGCTGCTACTGACCCTCGTCTCCTTCTCCTCTTCCCTACCACAGCCCCATTTGTACTCTCCATTCCCAGTGGCTTCTTTCCTACTTCCATGTTTATCGGTATTCCATTACTTCTTCCTCTCTTGTCCCCTTTCTAGATTCATGATCTACAAATGTACACATGTACCTATATACATATATATGAACATTCAAAGCTAGGCTCCACGCATGAGCATGAGAAGAGAGAACAAGCAGATATTTGTTGTTCTGAGGCAGGATCACTTCGCTTAAGATAATTTCTAGATCCATCTATTTTCTTGAATTTTTTTTGTTTTCATTATGGCTGGAAATTCCACTGTAGTTCACATTTGAGTACCCACTCATCAGCTGATGGACATCCAGACCGGTTTTATTTCCTTGCTATTGCGAATTAGGGCAGCAATAAACATGGCTGTGCAAGTATCACTATGCTAGGATGCAGAGCCCTCGAGTGTGTGCCCAGAGTGGTATGGCTGGGTCACATGGTAGTTCTATTCTAAAATGTTTGAAAAACCGTCACACTGATCTCCTTAATAGCTGCAACAATTTGAACTCCCCACAAAGTGAATGTGTGTTCCTCTTTCCCTACCTCTGAAGTTCTTGCTAGCTTATCTGGTTAAGTGGTCCAAATGCTCACTCCTAGGGGAGAAGAACTCCTGAGAACCACTATTCTCACTTCAGGGCGGCTATGACATATTCATTCACAGTTTAAAAAGTGGACAAAAGAATAGCAAGAAACAAGTAAGTGGATGAGCCAACTTCTATACTTTTGTAGTTGCAACCCAATCCAACTCAAAATGCTTTAAATGTGGAGAAACTGGACACGGTACATGGCAGTCCCAATGTCATGGGTGGCCACACTATACATTTCACCCTGATGCCACCTGAGCATATCTCAGTCAATGATTGTTTAAGGATGATAAACCCTCTTCCCACCTATTAGTCTTAGACAGAAGTAATCTACAGAACAGAGTTGGCAAGAAAACTTCGTTATATTTTTCCCTTACTATGTCCCCTGTGTTAAGACAACACCTACTGTGAGGGTCAGCACTTCTAGCCCTGGCGGGAGCCCAGAAATACAGGGAAAGAAAGCAAAGTCCCCCAAGGAAACAATGGAGACCATGGTAAATAGGGTCACTTCTGCTCCTACTCCTGGTTCCCAAACCCATGTACTTTTTCTCCTTTAGGAGGGAGAGTTTCTTTTGAATTTTATGTGTATGAGTGGCCTAGATGCGTGTAATTGCACCACATGAATGCAATGTCCATGGAGGCCAGAAGAGGGTATCTGATCCCCTGGAACTAGAGTTACAGACAGTTGCTAGCTGCCATGTGGGTGCTGGGAACTGAACCCAGGTCCTCTGAAAGAGTAGTCAGTACTATTATCCACTGAGCCATCTCTCCTGCCCTCACCAGTCCCACTGCATGTGCTTTTACTATGAGGAATACAGAATTATGCAGGAGCATAGACTACACCTTGAAAGGCAACATGCAAGCAGAGTACTTCCTCTGAGTTTCACCCATATCTTTTGCAGATCATTTTAGCACATCACAAGGCCAGCTACCTCTGGATGGTACAGTCTACATTCAGCAAATGACAAGGCCCAGTCTTACTCCCATGAAGCTTTCCCACTGAAATAAGGCTCCTGTTCCAATGCGGTATGGGATTCCAAACCCATGGATCAAGCAACCAATTGGTAGCACTAAACATACACTAAATCGTCAAGTGAAAGAGCAACTAGGTAGAAACACATAGTTGAGGCTTTAAAGACATATTCTAAGGAGACTCAAATATCATCTGTAAGGTCTTCCTTTTTCAGTAAATGCTACACTTGTAAGAAGAGTACATAATTTTCCATTCAAAATCTGATAAAGCATCATCAAAAAACATAACTAACAAAAATGTCGCCAAAAATAATTCAGACAAGCTAAACAGATTATAATTAGGGTTTCAAACCACAGCAGCCTTCCCCGTCTCCAACAGGATCTCATGGACTTCGGATTTCCCAAGCCCCTGAGAAAAGGGAACCGAGTTGATAAGCACCCTGGTCTTTGAAGTCAAGAGAAGCAGATTCTTCTAAGAGGCAGTCTGCCTTTCCTTTGATCTCTGAAGACAAGCTAAGCAATTCCACCTTTTAACCAGAGACTTCAGGAGCCACTTTAGTACAGCAGCTTTTCCCTTGTCTTAAGAGGACAAAACCAAAGACTTCCTGACCCAGATCCTGGCTGGTAGACAGAACAGAGCCGGGTTTACAAGCCCCGCTTTTCCCGCTTCCCCCCACCTGATTTGTTCCAAAGAACTTTCCCCCTTCTACACCCCGAAGCCCCCGTATAAAAGCCCCAGCTCACAATCCGTGGGCTGACAGTTATTGTATAGTTTTTTTTTTAATTTTTAATAACTACATGATTAGAAGTAGCATTTCACTACAGCTTTAACATATTCAATAGCACACTCTACAGCAAGAGTACATCTCTTTCACAAGTGGCTGTAAGTTTCTAGGTTCACAGTTGAATTAATACAGTTATACAATATTGAACTCAGTATAAGCCCTGTAAGACATAAAATTGAATGAGTTTTTAACCTTTAAAAAAGATCTCCATTACGTAGATTTTTAAAAATATGCCAAGTATTCACTAGTTAGTATTATTTAATAGTTTGTATTATTTATTATTCTGAACACTAATCATTATCTCATTTAGTATCTTTTATGAATACCAAATTTTTACAGTGTATATTTCCAACAAAATCTCAAACCAAATAACACATCCTTATTGTTTCATTTATATCCTGTTTTAAAATCATATATCTAAATCAAGTATGAATGATACAGTACTAAATACTGCTAAGATCTCATTTATTCAAAGATTATAAAATAGTCTTTCAAATTCTTAGATTCAGTCTAAACATGAAGTTTCTACATTATTCTAGGCTCGTATTTAGTATTCTTGCTTCACGTGGATAAGTAACATGCAGGAAAATAAAGTAAACCTATGTAGTACAGACTCTATTAGTAAATCATCACATGCTGTTTGCACTTGTTGAGTACTGACTCTGGGGACAGGATAAGCCCCCTTGTCTCAGACTCAAGCATGTTAATTAAGTGTCCTCAGAGGTCCTTTATCCTGGGCAGGTTGATCTCCTGGCCCTGTGACAAGGAGAAAGACCAGCAAATAGCCTGAGGATATCAAAAACAATGCACCCTTGAAGAGAATTATTTCCAACATGTTTACCCAAACTATAAAAATGCCTGAAGTGCCTCACCAGAAAGGAGACAACTCTGCCTAGGACTCTGACTTGGTACTCAAGCTGATTGTGTCAACAGGCCTTCTCCAGTCATTTCTGCTGGGTGTTCTGCCTGATCTGATTATTTGTCATTTATCTGCTATTTGCTATGTGTTCTTTTCCTTTTGCTTGCTAAATACTTAATAAACTCATTCATTCATAACCGTAAGTACAACCATCATGGATAATTCTCTAAACAGAACAAACTACAGGGACAATTTCAAAGCCATAAAAACATCCTAAGCAGTGTTAAAAAAAAAATAGTTACTTGAATTTGTAATACTTTTCTTCCTAAATACCCAAAGTAACATTGGAAGAAATCTTCAACTCACCTTTGCACACCATAAGGTCTTTCTAAAATGGGCTCTTTGAATGGAGGTGGAAGGTGACCGAAGTAATCAGGATAAGCCACTTCTGAATATTCTGGAACAGACTTTGTATTTTTCACAATCTCAATATAGAGGTCAGGGTCATGGAGTGTTGGTCCATCAGGTACATCAATAGATGCTTGTTCTACTGATGAGGTTGACTCCGTATCTTCATCATCTTCAGCTTCAACCCCAGTACAACACAGCTTCCCTAGCTGCACTGTCCGTCCTTCAAACAGAGTATTTCCACAAGCAGCCAGGTGTGGACACGTTTTTGTGCAGGTGAGAACAGTGAGAGGGAGACCACAGTCCTTCCTCATTCCTGCAGTCAAGCCCAAGGCTATCTGAGAAGGCATATTCTGCAATGTGATTCTGTCCAAGGCCTTCACAATATCAGTGTTTAAGCCCTGGGTTGAAGGAGTTCTATTTTGACCACCTAGCTGCTGTGGTATTGTCCTGTCATTATCCTTCCCATCTTCTTTTGCTTCATCTCCTTTGGGAGATACTTTTTCCTTCATTACAGCTCCTTTTTTAAAGCTACCTGAATTCCCAGATGCTTCCTCTCCAGCTGTGGGAACAACAATGGGGCCACGTACTTTTCCCTCAAACACAAAAGGCTTTGGTTCTTTTGAGATTAATTCGTAGTCCTGTTTAAAAAAAAAAAAAGTTTAATGTTATCTGTCAGTATTAAAATATATTAATAAAAGTAAGAGCATATTTGTTGTATATGTTCTAAAGAAACCTAGCACTTTAAAATTTTAAATAGAAAATGTTTTAGTTTCACTAAAAAGAGAAAAAATAACCACAACAAAATTCCCAACACTTACTTTACATTTTCTATCATAAAAATATCTATATATCACAGAAATATGGGGAGTATTTGAACAATTTAAATACATTAAAATCATCCAAAGTCCTATTAGAACACAACAACTAAGTTGTCAGCATTAATACAACCACCGAAGTTTCGTACATTTACAATGCCTGCTTTGTACCAAGCACTGTTTTGGCTGCTTAAGGTCCTTCAGCTTAAACTTAAAATGGAAACTTCCCTTTTATAGCTTTTGCAGGGATAAAAGAGAGATAACTGTCCACACAAGCAACAGTATGATACAAGTAACAAACATGAAACTGATATTTTATAGACTACTAGAAGCAACAAAAAAAAAGTGAGAGCTAGCTATAGTGTGGCCTGAGTGTCAGAAGATTATAATTATAAATGCCTCAGGTTATGGAGCCTGACTAAGCAGAGGAGACACAAGCAAGGAACTGAGAATGCCACCTCACAGTCCAGACAGCAGGAAAAGACAGCACCAAGAGTGCCAGAGTGGGAGATACCTGGGGTGCTGAAGTCAGCAAGGTTAGGCTGAATCGAACAGAAGAAAACAAAGTGAACTCCAAGAAGCCAAAGAGGCCCCAGTTCTGGAGGCCTTCAGGCTATTAAAAGAACTTCAGTTTTAACTGAATCATAGAAGGGATGAAATTATACCATCATATGACTTGTGTTTTAAAATATTACCCTAGAACAGGGTTTCTTAAGCCCAATAGTAAATATTTTGGGTCCTATCATTCTTATTTGTTTGTCTCTTGGGGGAGGGGAGGAGTTCTGCTGTCTTAAACACTGTAGCATGTTTAGCAGTATCCCCAGCTTCTATACAGGAGATACCAGTAATACCTCCCCACTTCCAGCATTTGTGAAAAGTGTCTCCAGACCTTGCTAAATGTCCCCTGGGAGGCCAGGTGAGCCCAGTTAAGCACCACTGCTCTGTTTCCAGAGGGAAACAAGGGAAGGGTGAGTAGAAGCAGAGGGGAGAAAGGAACTTGGCAGTTGACTTATGAACATACTACAGAACCAAGCTATATCCTCCTATGGTCTACAAGAGAGAACATAAAACGGAAGGCCCAGAACGCTTGCAAATGATGCCGAACAACTAGAAAACTATGAAAGTCAGGAACTAAGTTCTGGACATGTAGGGTGTGAGCTATTTACATACATATTCATATATTTAAGAAGACTGCTGGATATGGAACTAGAATTTAGAAAAGTTTATTCAGAAGACACCAAGTTGTGAGTTATCAGCATACAGACAACATTCTAAGCCATGTGACTAGAGCGCATCAATAAAAAGAAAAGTAGATAATAATACCCTGAGGAATGGCTTAGTGGTTAACCAGGAAGTGAAATAGGAGAGGAAAAGTTGGTCTACAAAGTGGAACAAATAGAAAGGAAAAATGACCAGGAAATCAAATATTAATATTTATTTTTTTTACTATTTTTATGTGTACAAGTGTACTGCTTGCATGCAGGTAAGTGCACACATGACATTCAATGCCCACGGAGTTCAGAAAAGGGCATCAGATCGCCTGGGACTGGAATTATGCATGGTTGTTAACTGTCATGTGGGTCCTGGGAGTTGAACCCATGTCCTCTACGATAGTAGTCAGTACTTTTTTTTATATATACTTTTTACAAAAACTTTATTGAGAATTTCATACATGTATATAAGGTATTTTGATCAAATCCATGCCCACTTCCTCCCCTCCAACATTCCCCCTCTGAAGAGGTAATCCTAGAATCTTTTAAGGATTAGATACAAACTCCCAAATACTTTTGACATTTTGGGCCTTGGAACAGAGTATGTTGCTAAAAGGCCCAAGGACATTTTGACTTTTAGCCAAGAAACTGGCTACTTTTCTTTGGGGTCTTTTTACTTTTACTCTGTCTACCCAATTCCTACCTCCTATTCTTATCATGCCATCCTCTGAAGGAGTTACCCAAGCTGCCAGTAGGGAATGGGGATGCCAACCATTTTGGCTTCTTCCATGTTGAACAGGGACACAGGGTGAGGTAATTGGAGTACCCCTTCAGTGGGTCTATCTCAAAGACTCCCAAATTGCAAAACTTTTGTCTCTAAGGGGAGAAGAAAGTCCTTGAATCATGAATGGAAGATGTGAAAGAGAAGCAAAGGCAAGAGTAATTAGCAGTACAAGTTCTAGACAAGGAACTAGAAAAAAGTCAGAACAGGGCAATTTTCAAACGTTCATATGAGAGTCCACTGGAGTTTCTTGACAAGGGCTTCCAAAAGCATCCCTCTGTGGGGTTCTTCCTCATTTTTCTTTTGTCTTCCAAGGCTGGACTAGCTGGCTGGGAAGAATGGCTGGAAAGAGTGGCTGGATATTCAGGTGACACTCCAGTGACCTTACTTGGCACTCCTTTAATGAATGAGAACAACCCTCAACAACCTAATTGTGACTATGTTTAGCGATCAGGCTCAGCCAAAGTTGTGATGATTGTAGTTATTTCATGCAGAAGGGACTTCTGTATATCATCATCTTATTAAAAGGACTTGGAATTTAAAACGATTTGGTGCTAGGAGCCACATATGAGGAAAAACATACGTCGTTTATTTTTCTGAGTCTGTGTTACTTCACTTAGTATACAGTTTCTAGATCCATCCATTTGCCTGCACATTTCATTATTTCATCTTTCTTTGTTGCTGAATAGAACTCCATTGTGTAAAAATACATTTTTGTTAACCACTCATCACTTGAGGGACACTTAGGTTGCTTCCACCTCTTAGCTATTGTGAAAAAGAGCAACAAACACGGTTGTACAAGTGTCTCTACAATAGGATGAGTCCTTAGTATATATGCCAAGGAGTGGTATAACTGGATCATACAGTAGGTTCAATTTTAGTTTTTTAAGAGTTCTCCACACTGTTTTCCATAGAGGCTGCACGAGTTTGTAATCCCATCAGCAGTGAATAAGTGTTCCTTTCTCCACATCCTCACCATCATTTGGTATCGTTCTTTCTCTTGATCCTAGCCAGTCTGATTGGGGTAAGGTGATAACTTAGGGTGGTTTTAATTTGCATTTCCCTAATTATAATAATGTTGAACCCTTTTTGAGATGTTTCTTAGCCATCTTTATTTCTTCCTTTGAGAACTCTCTGTTTAGATCTTTAGCCCATCTTTTCATTGGGTCATTTGGTTTCTCGATTCTTGGGTTTTTGAGTTCTTTATATATTCTGGATGTTAAACCTCCATCAAATGTATCACTGGTCAAGTTTTTTTCCATTCTGTGGATTTTTTCTTCACTTTTTTGATTGTTTCTTTTGCTATACAGAAGGTTTTTAGTTTAATGAGGTCCCACTTATTGATTGCAGACCTTAATTCCAGAGCAAGTTCTGTCTTGATTTAGAAAATCCTTTCTTACACCTATAACCTGTAAGTTACTGCCAATATTTTCTTCTAATAGTTTCAAGGTTTCCAGTTTCACATTGAGGTCTTTGATTCATTTGGAGTTGACTTTTGTCCAAGGCAAGAGATAAGGATCTAGTTTCATTCTTCTACAGGTGGAAATCAAATTTTGCCACCACCATTTGTTGAAGATGGTGTCTTTCCTCCATTGTGTGTTCTTGGCACCTTTGTCAATATCAGGTGGCTGAAATTGCATGTACTTGGGTTTGGATCGTCAATGATGTTCCATTGATCTATGTGTCTATTTTTGTGTCACTACCATGCTGTTTCTACGTCTATAACTATATAGTATACTTTGAGATCTGGCATAGTAATCCCCCCAGCATTGTTCTTT